ACACCCTAAACCCTAACCCCTAGACCCTAGACCCTAAACCCTAAACCCTAAACCCTAAACCCTAAACCCTAAACCCAAAGCCCTGCCTGCCCGGGCTGCACCCCAGCAGGCACCTGTACTTGGCACTGCCGACCACCAGGTCCCTGCACAAGCAGAAACCTCAGCGGATAAGGGGACACTACAGGGTTTGGCTTGGGGTTTAGGGTTTAGGGTTTAGGGTTTAGGGTTTAGGGTTCAGGGTTTCGGGTTTAGGGTTTGGGGTTTAGGGTTTAGGGTTTGGCTTGGGGTTTAGGGCTTTGGGTTTGCCATAGGGTGGTGCCTAGGCGGAAATATCTTGCGACAGTGTAAGATCGAGTGCACCGCGGTCTGACGATTTGCCGCTGGCGCCCGATTGCGAAGGGCTCTGTGTTTTTCTCACTCCCATTCAAGGAGTCTAAACCAAAAGGGATCTATCTAAGGAGCCACAAAAGAAAGGAAGACGCCTGCTAGTAAAAGCCTCAAGGGGCCAGATAGAGGAAACCCGAAACCCTAAACCCTAAACCCTAAACCCCTAAACCCTAAACCCTAAACCCCTAAACCCTAAACCCTAAACCCCTAAACCCTAAATCCTAAACCCTAAGGGGTGTAGGGCTTCAGGTCTGGATTATGAATGAAGAGAGGCCTTGCTTATCAACGACGAGGATACCACGGCTATTTAAATCATAGAATTAGGGTCTCTGGTATTCAAAGTATATTCCCTGCTTATGCCCTGAACCCTAAATCCCTCAACCCTACACCCTAGACCCTAAACCCTAAACCCTAAACTCTTGATCCTAGACCCTAAAACCGTAAACGTGAAACTTACGGGGCATTGCGCTCTCGGGGTCTATGTCTCCAACTCGCATTTGGGGCTAAGGGCTTGGAAATTTAGGATTTGGGGGCTAGTAATATTCCTGCTTAAGGCATAGCCATGTAATGAAGGTTCCTTCAAGGGGAACCTTGAAAAGATTCCTTCAAGAGTTCCTTTGAGGGTTCCTTTAAGAGTTCCTTTAAGGGTTCCTTTAAGAGTTCCTTCAAGGGTTCCTTCAAGAGTTCCTTTGAGGGTTCCTTTAAGAGTTCCTGTAAGGGTTCCTTTAAGAGTTCCTTCAAGGGTTCCTTTAAGAGTTCCTTTAAGGGTTCCTTTACGAATTCCTTTAAGGGTTCCTTTACGAGTTCCTTTAAGGGTTCCTTTAAGAGCTCCTTTAAGAGTTCCTGTAAGAGGTGTTGAATCCCACAGACCAGGAGCTGACCAGGCTGGACATTCGGAGGGCACGTCACCTGAAGCAAAGGCTTGCGAAACCTAAATCGAGGGTTTAGGGTTTAGAGTTTAGGGTTTAGGGTTTAGGGTTTAGGGTTTAGAGTTTAGGGTCTAGGGTTTAGGATTTAGGATTTATTACTAAACCCTAAGCCCTAAACCCGAAGGGCTGTAGGAGGCTGCATATCTGGAACAGGAGTAAGATGGGGCCTTAATAATTAGCATAGGGGTTTGTCGCCCATTATACTATACTTGTAACAAGGGTAATGTTTTTAGGCCCCTACATTATTTTGTATTTATATTGGGAAGTAAGACCCTAAACCCTAACCCCTAAATCTAATTTAGGCCCCACATCATTATAAAGGAGCCCGTAAAGGAGCCCACGATTCCCACAAAGGATCCCCTAAGGGAACTTAATCCCTTAACGGAACTCTAGAGATCCTATTTAGGTTTTAGGATTTAGGGTTTAGCGTTTAGAGTTTAGGGTTTAGGGTGTAGGGAGGAATCCTCAAAGCAGTAGGGGTTTGCTGGGGTTTTAGGATTTTTTTGGGGGGTTTAAGGGTATAAGAGGTTTCGGGCTTAGGGGCTGTAGGCGACTGGAATTCGTAGCTGTCCCAGCACTACTTTCAAATCACCGCTTCACCTCTAGTATAGATGTATACGGAACCTAAGACCACAAAAAGGGAAAAGGGCCCGCCGGGGGACTTAGACCTTCATTGGAACTGCGGCTATCACTTGTTGTGTATGGCCCAGGACCAAAAGGCAGCACGACCTCTGCAGCCTGTTGCAAAGCTCGCACCTCGTTTTTCAGCTTCTGTAGTCTAAACCCTAAACCAGCACATCATCCCGGGAGCCCATTTCCATGCCCCCATCGAACTCGCACCTGGGCTTTATGGACAATCTGGGCCAGTGTCTTTAGGAAACCTGGGAGCCACATTGCACCATCGTGAAAAATGGCGTATGTCCGCCCTAAACCCTAAACCCTAAACCCCTAAACCCTAAACCCTAAACCCTAAACCCTAGACCCTAGACCCTAAACTCTAAACCCTAAACCCCTAAACCCTAAAAGCTTTCGCAGCGGC